GTGTGATCTAGCCGACCTTCACAGTAGTGAACCTTTTGGGAAAGGAAGGAACTGCAAGCACCAACGGCTACGAGGGAAGCAGGAAGATAGAAGCTGAGAGCTGCAGTATTTAGTCCAAAAGGTGATGACCAAAAGCAAAAAAGCACCTCTTTCTCCCTGTTGGCCTCAGAGTCGAAAGAGAAAAAGCATCGTTGGAGGGTGAAATCAGTGGTCAATTCCCCGCCAGAGAAAGAGTCTGATTTTATCTCCAATCCTTCTTGCATTTTCTCAGGTTCTACTGGAGAGACGGTCAGAATAACTCTCGGAGGATCTTGGTACAAACTCTTCTTCAACCACGGAAACTCATAAGAGTATGGAATAGAGAGCCAACCGTTAAAAGTCTCACTAATCCACAGAACTTAGTTGAAAGGAATTTGATAGCCCCAAACAACCCTGGTTCTTGGGAATATGAGGTGCAAACAAAGTCATGTCCGACGGCCACAATGGAAATGGATTAACGAAGAACAGGCATCATTTTCCTCCCATTTGGACTCTACTGTCCACACCAATCTGAGGTATCACTCTATCTCCCCTATTACCCCCTTGAACTCCCATACCCAGCCATTCAGCTCATTAGGAAGAATGCAAATCATGTTTTTTACAAAGATTGGAAGGTAGAGTTTGGGGAATAGGAAGGGTTTTCAATGGCTGGGCTTTTTCTCTCTTTCTTAGAAAAGCAGAAGGCTGAAAATATGTCATTCACCCTCCAGAATTCGAACCCAGATCATAAGATTGGAAATCTTCATGGGCCTTTTTCTCCCCTGACTTAAAGACTGCAGGAAGGAATGCAATACTAGCACCTCTCCTGCTTTCCTCTGGAATTCGGTCGCATTCTTGTGACTGACAATTCCGCCTAAGAAAGGAAAGGTCCCCCCCCCCAGGCTACCTGGGTAAAGGTCTGGACACTTGCAGAGAAGAGCGTTTTCAATGTCTCTGATGGTTGCCAGGCAGAAAGCTGGGCATTAGAAGGAAAAGAGAAAAGGAAGACTTGATTAGAGGATTATTTCCGTCCATTGACCTCTGGGTAGTGGGCCCAGGACGCTCTTTCTGAGCCACCCTGCTGGTGGGGAGAAAAGGTAGCTGGGATTAGAACTGAGATCTCCCAAGTGCTAATTTGACCCTCTCTCCAGTAGAACCTGAGAGAATGCAAGGATAACTGGAGATAAAATCAGATTCTTTCCCTGGCCGGGAATCGAACCCGGGCCGTGGCGGTGAGAGCGCCAAATCCTGACCACTAGACCACCAGGGATGGATGTGGTTGTGATCCATTTGTCCTTTCTTCAGTCAACGAGGCTGTTGCTGTCCAACTAGAGAAGCTACAAGGAAGATGTGAAATTTGGAGAAACGGGGACAACAGTTATAAAAGGATGAGGATCAGGTCCTTCTCTGGACCTTCTTCTTCTCTATTTTCTGGAAAAGCCAATCGATAGATCTTTGGAATGGGACACATTGTTACAGCTGTCCTTTCTGCTGATTCTGGGAGGGAGAAAAAACCTTCCCTGACCGGGAATCGAACCCGGGCCGTGGCGGTGAGAGCGCCAAATCCTGACCACTAGACCACCAGGGAGAAGGACAGGGAAGAAGTGCACCAGGCAGAATTCCTCAGTAAAGGAGTCCAAAATACTCATCCAGAAGAAACATCACCAACAGAAACGTCTGGTCATCTGTCCAACTGGAAAAGGGGTTCCTGTATCTGAATTATGGACCATTGCCCAAAACACATTCTCTTGAACCTCCTGAATCTGAACTCTGGACCATTGCCCAACACACTCCAATTTGGACCATTCTCTTGAACCGTAAGTTCTGCCTCCTGACCAAAACAATTTGTTAAATGTTTTCATTTCTCTTCGGTCCCTTCCTCTTCGGGGCCAATTTGGAGGGAAATAAAAAGAACAGAGAATTCGATGCCCAGCCCTCCCTGAATAAGAAACCTTCCTCGCATCTCTTTTGCTTTTTGTTAGGATGGTTTTCCCTTAGCATCACTCAAAGCAGCTCCCAATACGTCCAACCACTGGAACCAAGCAGACAATAAAAATTATAGCAGCATCAGTTATATTAAAAACCATTCCAACCATGGATCTGTACATAACAAAGAATTGAACAAGGGAAGATGGAGTGAAATCCTGACCAATAAACTTTGTGCCAGCTGTTGGGTTCATAGCTTTTTGAGGAAACATTTCATCCCTCTTCTCCCATTAGGCGATGAGAAGGAACAAGTTCTGAGCTGCGCATCGTGACTTCTTCCTTGGCAGACCCATGGCAGCTTGATCTCTCTCCGTGCGAGCTGTCTGTCCTGTTGCAGTGAATGAGCTCTGGAGGGATCCAGAGAGATCTGCCTGCCCTGCCTGGTTCTATCCTCATTGATGCCCCGATGAAGGAGGCGGCACACATCAGCTGCGCCAGTGGTGTAGAGGCAGCATGCGAGCTTTCCAAGCTTGTGACCTGGGTTCGAGTCCCAGCTGGTGCACACCCTCCTCGGTCTTTCCTTTTCCTAAAATGTAAACGGCAACAGCACAGCCACTCCAAAAAAGACTCCTGCTTATGAACCTCCACAATAGCTAATGTGCTGTGGAATTTAAGAAAAGAAGCAGATCCAAGGCAATAGTTTGATTGCACTGCCTGCCTGCCTGCAGCATGGAGGAAGCCCTCATAGCCATCATTTACTCCTTCACCACTATGAGAAGTGCGTTAAGATCATGATAACATTATCCCCCGTTGGCTGATTTCACCCTCCAAATCATGCATCAGCAAGGCACACAACCTCATTCTTCCCCGATCTAAGAGAGTGGTGGTGCAGGAGGGTGCAGGTCCCATAAGCACAGGGGCCATGGATTGCAACCACCCTCTGCCAGGTGACCGATTACTTTTCTTTTTCGACTCTGAGGCCAGCAGGGAGAAAGAGG